CTTCTAGTCTCTCCATCTTCCAAGAACTTTGGAAAAGAATGATGGCATTGAAGGTGGCTTAGGCTGTGTTGCCAGTTGGTATTTAAGTTCTCAATTATTTGAGAATTTTCTTTTTTTCTATTCTTTAATTTAAATTAGAAACAATCTTGTTTTACATGTCAATCCCAGTTTCCTCTCCCTCCCCTCCTCCCCTGCCCCCTCTAATCCCCTTTCCACTCCCCAGGGAGGGTGAGGCCTTCCATGGGGAATCTTCGAAATCTGTCATATCCTTTGGAGCAGGGCCCAGGCCCTCCCCCATGTGTCTAGGCTGAGAGAGCATTCCTCTATGTGGAATGGGCTCCCAAAGTTCATTTGTATGTTAGAGATAAATACTGATCTACTACCAGAGGCCCCATAGATTTCCAAGTCCTCCTCACTGACACCCAAGTTCAGGGTGTCTAGATCAGTCCTATGCTGGTTTCCCAGCTATCAGCCTGTGGTCCATGAACTCCTCTTTGTTTGGGTCAGTTGTTTCTGCAGCCTATTCTTGACCCCTTTGTCCATCACTACTCCTTCTCTGCAACTAGATTCCAGGAATTCATTTCAGTGTTTAGCTGTGGGTGTCTGGTTCTGCTTCCATCAGCTACTGGAAGAAGGCTCTAGGATAGCATATAATGTAGTCATCAGTTTCATTATCAGGGAAGAGCATTTAAGGTAACCTCTCAACTATTGCTTAGATTGTTAGTTGGGGGTCAACCTTGTAGATCTCTGGACATTTCCCTAGTGCCAGATTTCTCTTTAAACCTATAATGGATCCCTCTATTATGGTATTTCTTTTCTTTCTTTCCTATATTCTTCCCCTGATTAAAATAATGTTAAGAAGAAAAATAAAATGCTTAGATTGCTATGAGTTTTAGCATATGGTGGGCTAAACATCTGGTGAATTAGGGACCTACACTCCCTGATTAATGATCAGGATAATGTGTTTGCATTGCAGTTCTTCAGGGTCAACACTTGATAGAATAGGAATTGCAAGTGGTTCTGGTTATTTTTCAAGAACACTGCCCACTAGGGTGAATATCCATTCCCCAATAATGGCATCATAGAAGAGTCATTGTGACATCACTATGTACTTTTGCTAGTGGCAGCATAGTCATCTCTGATTCCACTGATGGTAGTAAGGCCATACAACAGTGGACCCTGTTGCCAAATAACATGCTGTCAGATTCAAATATATTTCTTTCTCTTCCGAGTCATATCTGCCTCATATGCAGTAAGGGGGACAGACCTATTAGGCATTTCATTTCATTTTTAGCTAATAGGAGAAGCAAATTGAGGGAGTGTTCTTGTTTGTTTTCTGTTGCTATGATAAACACCATGACGAAACACAACCTGGGGAAGAAAAGGTTTGTTTCAACTTATAAGTTACAGTCCATCATCAAAGAGACCAAGGCAGGGGCTCAAAGCAGGAGCTCAAGACAGGAACAAGGGGCTGGAACTCAAGACAGGAACTCATGGATGGAACTCAAGGTAGGAGCTCAAGACAGGAACTCAAGGCTGGAACTCAAGTCAGGAGCTCAATATAGGAGCTCAAGGCAGGAACTCATGGCAGGAGCTCAAGGCAGGAACTCAAAGCTGGAACTCAAGGCAGGAGCTCAATATAGGAGCTCAAGGCAGGAACTCAAGACAGGAACTCAAGGCTGGAACTCAAGGCAGGAGCTCAATATAGGAGCTCAAGGCAGGAACTCAAGACAGGAACTCAAGACAGGAACTCAAGGCAGGAACTCAAGGCAGGAGCTGGCTTGCTCCCTGAAGCTTGTGCTCAGCTAACATTTTTCTACACCTCAGAAGCACAAAAGATAGCTCTTCCCTCATTGGCCTGGGTCCTCTTACATCAATTAGCAATCAAAATATCCCACAGACATGCCCACAGGTGAATTTAAAGGATACAATCCCCCAGTGGAACTACCTCAGATAACTCTGGACTGAATCAAGTTGACATCTGGAGGTAATTAAGAAAGTAATTAACTCCTCAAGAATCTATTTAATGTTCCATGACATAACATACCAGGGAAATATTCAGGTCTGTTGTCTCTAATGCTTGTCCCCTAGATATGTAAGTTGGTGTTGCTGGAGAAACATGACTACCCACTCAAGTAGAAAGACATGGACTTGAGAGATTTGTATTTAATTTTTGGTTTGCCTTACTTTATTATTCACATTAAAAGAATTCCTCTGTTGGTAGAGATTAAAGAAAACATTTTAAAATCAACATGTCTAAGAACATGTTTCCCTGGCTCACTCCAAATCAGTGGAAGGATGAAGGTCACTGGGAATATGGTTTATAAAGGTCAGCTTATTAGAGAGTGCACAAGGTTGACATAAACATATCACTTGTGTGAGAGTTGGCATTTCTAGCCAGTGCAAACATCTATCTCAAACATTCTTCTTTCCATTCTGATTTGTATAATTGAGTTTTGATTTTCAGGAAATCTCTTAGTGCTTTTTTTCTCCCAACTAAGTCAGGTAGCAACTACTGTTTGTCTCTACAAGAGGATTAGAGGTGGTTGGTTAATCTGTGAATTTGATGTCAGTGGGTTTCCATGAGGTTCTACTGGCCAAGAGCATAAAGCCTCAAACCAACCTTCCTTCCTTCATTCCTTCCAGTATATTTGAGGTGGATTTAAAATTAGAAGAACAATAATCTGCCTGGGCACAATTCTTATACCCAAGATAAAAGAAAATCAAGGACTATAGTATAGTTTCCCCCACATTGTCATGAAAGAAATCCTGAAACAGAGAAGCGTATTTGAAATTCATATGTTTCATAAATTTTTAATTCAATGACATCATATCAGGGGTTTGGAGCTACAGAAAACTCCAAGTTTCATCATACCCCATTTCCATTCTGGGGACTTTAGAACAAGAATTATCTGACCATGTTAACAAAATAAATGGGAAAGGAAGGAAAGAAGATTCAGAAAGATCAGAAGGATCATTGTGCAGACCATGGAATGGACTGGATGCAAAGTACAGGGACAAACCGGTTTAGTGAAGAGGAGGAACTGCTAAATCTCTCTCCAAAGGTGGAATGACAAGACATTGCTAAGGTGGGGCAGGGCTCAGGAGGCCTGATGATAGAGCCCAAGGTGAAAGATTTCATCATTCCTTGGTCTGGTACTATCTCAGCAACAAGTTAGAATCCTCCAGCAGTTGCTGGTTTGCCTGCTACCCCAAGAGAAAAACCATAAGGGATCACTCTAGTGAGAAATATAAGGGGATGGAGCAGCTACATCACCCCTGGGGAAAGTCAGTAGAGGAGGACTGTACAGATGCCTATCTGTACAGACTTGCTGCTCCACCAACTCCAGTTCCAAAATAGTTCATGCAGTTGGGTGTTTTCATACTGTGCTCAGTTCTAACTCTGACCAAGGAGAACTTGAAGCTTCAGTAACTATGTGCTTCTCCCCTTTCTAAGCAAATACAGCCACACCTTGTCTCCATGGGTGCTCTAGTCAAGAATTTAAAGACTTTTAGGTCGGAAACATTTGAAGAAAAATGTCTGTAATAAACATGTAGAGATTTTTTTCTTGCTATTATTCCTTGGAAAATATGGCATATATGTGTTATAACATATTTAATATAGTAGAACAACTAATTATATGATATTTACATTGTATTAGGTATTAAATTGTTTTTCTTTTATTGAAAATAAATTTTTTTGTCATACAATATATCCTGGTTATACTTTCCCCTCCCTCAATTGATGTCGGTTCCTCTTCTTCTCCCCTTCCCTCATCTCCAGAATACCCTCACTTTGACTTTTCTTTGCTGATTCTACTTCCAATTTCAGGTCTTGAACATCTTTATTTATCCCTTACTGTTTATTTATTCCGATCCGGTTGTGTTTCCCTGTATTTCTTTAGGGGATCTATCCATTTCCTCGTTAAGGACCTCTATAGAATTCATAAAGGCCATTTTAAGGTCTCTGTCTTGTGTTTTAGCCATGTTGGAATATGCAGGGCCTGCTGTGGTTGGATAGCTAGGCTCTAGTGGAGACATTGCCCTGACTGATTTTGATTGTGTTTTTACATTGGTATCTCAGCATCTAGGTTTGGGATGGTTACAGGTCTAAGTGCTGATTTCTGAAATTGTCTTTGTTGGGTGGGTGTCCTGCTCCTTGGTTTCTGGTTCCTTTTTGGACTTTTAGAGACTATGATGACTGTGTGTTACCTCATTTCCTGGCCTGTTCAGTTGGTGTGTTCACAGGGATTGCCTGCTGGTATTGGATGCTGGGTAACTGGGATGAGTTTGGGGAAGAAAGATTGGAGGAGAAGGTTTGTGTAATTCCTTGGGTATGGGGTCAGAGAGGAAAGGGAGACCACAGCAGGTTTCCTGCTACAGAACTGGGAATGAGATTGGGGGTGGGGGCAAGGATCTCAGGAGCAGCTGGAGAGGTGTGTGGATCTGCCTTCAGACTACTTGCTGACCTGGGAGGAGCTGCCCTTGGGATAGCAGAGGGTGACTGCTGGAGTTGGGGTCTAGGATAAAGCAACAAGTGGGGAGAGGGATTTTAGGAAAGGATAGTTTGTGGGATCCACAGGAGGGGTGGGTGGATGTGAGGGAAAGCTGTAGTTGGTGTTCTGTTGCAGCACTAGGGACTAGACTGGAGGATTGTGTCTGGGGGAACAGAGGCGGGGGGGGGTCTACAGGCATCCTCCCTGGTTTTCTAGCAGGTGTGGCTTCTGTATTGAGTGTTATTATTAGCCTAAAGATGGTTTAAAGAATGAAGATGCACATCGCTGATTGTTTTGAGGCCACACCCCGCCACAGTGGTAGAGGGATGGTTCTATTTCTTTTGTCAATAGTAAAATGCTTTGGCTATTCCTGTGTCTGCCACCAGGAAAAGGAAACAAACACCCTGGCTTATGACTAATAAAGTGGGAAAGGAGGAGTCACAGGTAGAGGAAGGTATGATGTCTCCTACTTTGTCATTTATCCCAACCTTTTCATCCCCACAGAGGGTGGGCTGTGACTACGAGATTGATTCTAATGCTACTGAAGATCGCTGTGGTGTTTGCCTTGGAGATGGCTCTGCCTGCCAGACGGTGAAGAAGCTGTTTAGACAGAAGGAAGGATCTGGTAATAAACAAACCCAACTAACTGAAGTCCCTAGTGACTTTGGAAAGCCAAAAAAATTAAAAAATTAATTTCCTTGTTTTTATTTTAAAAATAGCTTGTAAAAATTCAAAATAAAATATATTTCTTATCACTAAGGAATCAACTCCCTTTGGCAGTTATAGGAACAACACTGGTTGCTAAGAAAATACAGGAAGTGTCACACTGACCTGTGGCTACTCGAGGGAGCAGATATCCGTATAGTCTCTAGCAAAGCATCCTGCTTGAGAATATGCATCATAAGAGTGGCAGGATCAAGACAATGACATTGGAAAAAAACAAAAACCAGGCGAGAGATGAGGTCAAAAGATGGGTTCTGTATGTGGAGATGGAGAAGCCAGGATGGAACAGGTGGAAAGGCAGCAGTACTGAGGTGTAGCATCAGGGTCAAAGGAGGCATAAGACAGACATGATCTCCTGCCTGTGACTTCCACACAATGGTCCCTTAGGAGTCTCAGGTAAGCTCTTCTACCTAACATAACCCCACCCCTTTACCCAGGCTATTCCTTTCCTGTATTTAGACTTTACAATATTTCTTCTTTGTGCAGCCTTTTGAGCTACTGGTGAGCCTAGGAGGATGTAGTTGAGACTCTACCCTCACCCCTACCTCACATGCGCTATGAGCCATGTGCATTTACCGCCATTAACAGTAGTTCTCATGGTACCTTGATATCAACCACAATCTCTAGCATGAGAAAGATGAAGATAACTCCTAGTATTTTAATACACTCTGAAACAAGAATTCAGATTAAATAATTATTTAGGGACTAGGAGGTCCTGGGGAACAATGTGGCATTGAAGAAGAGGAAGCATCCAGGAAAGGATGGGTTACCGTACTGGTGCTCAGTCACTGGACTTGGAAGAGTGAAGGAGTCGGATGATGACCAGTGGTTTCCACTGGTCAGGGTGTGGTGGGAATTCATCCTGTAGGTTCTGTAAAAGTGTAGGTGATGGGCATGGGGCATCTAACATGCAAAAAGAAGTCTTGCCAGCTACCTAGAGGTGACATCACAATAGAAAATGGTGATCACTCTCAGATACAAAATGACATTGATTTTCAGAGTCCCAGTAAAGCAGTGTCTCACTCCTAGATGTATTTAGTATGTGGGATGAAGTGCTTAAGTGTGATCCCAAGAGTACTGGGTGTTTTCTTCAATTGATTGCATGACCCATTGCCCCCTTGAAAACATGCTAGTAGCTAGTAGATAACCTAGATTTATCTAAATTCTGTCCTTATCTTTTCATTTTTGACTGTTGACTGATTAAGGTCAAATTGTGAAATGATTCTTGCCCTACCCTTTGGTAATAATACTGGCAGATTGCATTTCCTATCTTCACTGAAAGCTTTATTACGGATGAAGCACATCTTTCTAGTTACTTGCTGAGGGTGAAAACGATTATCCAGTGTATGTCAAACTTATGATTAAGCATCTTGTGGTGGCTACTTTTTTTCTAATATTTTGTAGATATTTTCTATTATTTCAACATGGCCACATTAACCTAAATTGTAAGAAGTCACACTAATAACCTGTTGCTTCTTCTAAGCTCAGCTCATTTCTCCATGAAACCTTTTGCTTTGTTCCCTGCTGTGCTGTACTTCTTACATGATGTCCTGGGTTGTTCTTCCCACATTTTCTCTATTTGACCTTCTAATAGCTTAGGAAATTTGACTTCACTTCTGCTGTTGGTTTATTTTCTTGTTTGTTTTCCTTCTTCCTTAGTCACTTGGGGATGAGAAAGGGAGTCATAAATAGCTTGGCCTGTACCTCTAGCCACATGCTATCACTAAGCCTTTGACATCTCTCTAAGACTCTGTAGTTTCCATTCTTTCTTCTATTTGCCTCTTGAAGCACTTGAGTGGTCTTTGACACCCATGAATTGGTGTCAGGCTTAACTGCCCATGCCTGAGGTTTCTCATAGACCTCTGACCCTCCCCTCTTAGTGCATAAGGGAAGTGCAAAGTTTCCTTGTGGACTGTAGCATGTAGTAAGGTGTGTGTCTACAGACCACAGGGTACTTACCAGATTCCATCTTTGCTTCATGATTAATGAAGTCTGACACAGGAAAAAAAGGCACTGCCTACCATTATTCTACCATGCAAATGAAGCAAGGGCATGCAGCAAAAGAATGATGAAATGAATTTACATTGAATTGGTGTAGTGGATTCTTTTGAAATTCAAAGCTAAAGAGGGGGCTGTATTCATTATACAGTTCTCTGTTTTTATTTTCAAGCTACTCTATGCTGCTGCCACATCTTACCTTATGCTTATTTTTTTACCTTAATGTAATTAGTAACAACAACAACAACAAAAAAGAATTGCTTTGGTTCTTTGTCTCAACCTTGTTCAACTGTCTGTCTCTGTCTCTCTGTCTCTCTGTCTCTTTGTCTCTCTGTCTCTCTGTCTCTGTCTCTCTCTCTCTCTCCCTCTCTCTCTGTGTGTGTGTGTGTGTGTGTGTGTGTGTGTGTGTGTGTGTGATATCCACAGAGGCCAGAAGAGAGCTTCAGGGAGCCAAACCTCAGGCCTTCGGCCTTCTTTAAGGGCAGTATGAGCTCTTAACTACTCAACTATCTCCAACACAGTGGTCCATTTTCATTGGCCTTTGTAGTCCAATGTCCTCAACCTAGGCTTGTTTCTACTGCTTTAGCTCCTGAATGTCAACTTCCTTATCTACTTTATTTTTGTAAACTCAGCTGGTCTTTTCTGACACTGTTCAGCCTCTTGAAATTCTAAGAATCACCACTCTGGACTGTTCCTCTCTCCTTCTTAAGATTCTCTACACTTCTACTTAAATATGTTCTGGTCTTGTTCATACTGACCTGTTTTATCTTGTTTCTGGGAATGAGGATCCATCCTCTCTGAGTACCCTATGACTTTCATATGGCTAACTGGGTCACTTAACTCAGCACCTACAAGATTGGCCTTGACTCCTGCCTCCTTTATTTAACTGTAACCAGTATGTTCTTAGATTTGCATCTTAAATTTTTTGACTGGAGCAGTTACCATAAAATGAATCTTAATTACACACATATACTATGTTTTTCATTTTACTATAAGTGGAGGATGTTTACTATGGGGAAGATGCAAGAAGATTTTTCCTTATCAATCACTTTTCTATTTCTGAGCATTCTGAAGAAGTACAAATAATCACTGAAAGTTTCTATTTTACATTTAGTGTTCTTACATTTCAGTTTATTGATAACTACTTGCCATTTTGAAATTTTCATTCTTATGTGAAAAAATAAAAATCAAACTTATAATGATTTATGTATTATTCCTTTTTCATTTAAAACAAGGAACAAGGTGGTAGGCATAATATTTAACACAAGTTTTTTTCCATGCTGAGTTCTGCAGTTTGAAAGCATTTAATATCCTAAATAAGAAAATAGTTACAGGGAGCAATACCATAAAGGCATTTTTCAAAGTTTCATTAGTTCTAATCACATGAGATAAATGTTTTTTTCCTGAGATAGTGGTTTTAACGAGCTGTAGCAGACAAGTGCATAAAAGTCAAATGGAGCTGAACTGACTCGTGCAAGACTCATGTAGCATTTGCCTACCACCATAGAGCAACCTAGGCATGTTCAGGTGCCAGAGATGAGCGTTGTAGCTCAGGTGCCAGAGACAAGCGTTTTATTAGTCACACCTTTGCACCATCATTACAGATACCTGAGAGAAAACTACTTAAGGGAGGACAAATTTATTTTGGCTCAGGGTTTTAGGGATTTCAGTCCATTCTTAACAGACTTCACTGTTTATGAGCAGAAAATGGCAGAATGTCATGGCAACAGGTACATGTGACAGAAACTGTTAATCATATGATGATCAGATTTCCACAGTACACCCTCCTGTCATCTACTGGCTCTAGCTAGCCCCTACCTCCTACTTTTTACTTCAGCCTAATAATGCCACCAGATTAAGTTAGAGATATTACGATCCATCACTTCTCTGAGCCTATCAGCTGGAACCCAAGCCCAGAGTACATGAGCCTGTACACACACACACACACACACACACACACACACACACACACACACGAGCACACTTGGTGAGTTGACAGGATAATCAGTGCCTTAGAAAAAAATGAACTCTTCGACTGGTACATCTGAGAGCATCATCACCCATCATCCTTCAGTTCCTATTACTTGTACAGGTGAGATTCAAAGGAGTTAAATGAACTGATGAAATTCACAGAGATAATGCACAAACTGGAACACAAGACCATCTTAAAGCCCACGCTCCTGCCGGGCGTTGGTGGCGCACGCCTTTAATCCCAGCACTCGGGAGGCAGAGGCAGGCAGATCTCTGTGAGTTCGAGGCTGGGCTGGACCGATAGCCTCCAAAACAATACAGAGAAACCCTGTCTCGTAAAACCAAAAAAAAAAAAAAAAGCCCACGCTCCTGCCATCCTATAAAGTCATGGTTCTGAGGAAGCATAAACATAGGAGCATAACGAGCTGGTGAATAGAGGCAACCACTAAGTGTCCGTTTCTTCTCTCACTGGTGTGCCTCCTACCATGGCAACCATTTAACAGAAGATTGCAGCTAGAGTTGATCAATACTTTAAAATAGATATGTGTTTTCTTTTCCAGAAGCCCAGATAGGACTATTGAAAATAAGTTATAAATGTGTAATTTTACAAACACAGGAGGAAATGAGGAGTGACGGCTTCCTAATGACTAGAATTGTGCGATGGTGTAGAAAGCAGGCCTCAGAACTTAGGTTTTCATCATGGGCTGATTGAAGCAATCCAGGTAGCAATCAATTCAAGATTCCCCCCCAGGAGTTCTTAATGAATGGAAGCTTGGGATAAATTATATCTAAGAATCTATTTTTTACCTGATGGTGATGATGGGGAAGAAAAGTATGCAGTCTGTGCATTGCTTGGGAAAGCTAATCTAATGGGAAGAATTATATGGGAAAGGAGGAATGTCAGTAGGAAACTAGCTTGCAGCTCAGACATTTTGAACCATTCACACAGAATCACAGAAAAATAAATGCTGGGTGAACAATAAACCCTCAGAGTCCCATCTGTATTACCTATTGTCACTGAACTGTTTACATGTCATGAAGCTGCTGAGAATTCTGCTCGTGGCTAATCCCTTTCTAGGTCTTCATAGTTGGTGCTTCTGCCCATCCCAGTGGCCACTCAGCACGGGCACCGAAGGATGGAGATGCTGAGAAGAGGGTACAGGCTCTACTAACAGAGAAGCCAGCATGCCTCCTTCACTGTTGTCTCTTTTGTCCTTAGGTTATGTTGACATCGGACTTATTCCCAAAGGGGCGAGGGATATAAGGGTAATGGAAATCAAGGCAGCTGGAAATTTCCTGGCCATTAGGAGTGAAGATCCAGAAAAGTATTACCTCAACGGAGGGTTTATTATCCAGTGGAATGGGAACTATAAACTGGCAGGGACTGTCTTCCAGTATGACAGGAAAGGAGATCTGGAGAAGCTGATGGCTCCAGGCCCCACGAACGAGTCAGTGTGGATCCAGGTAATTCTGAGGAGAAGGGAGCTGCGGACCAGTGTGTCTGCTAGCGTCCTTCTCATTTCCTTCCCCAGCTACGTAACAGAGGACGTTAACTCTGAATCATTAGTTTCCTTAACAAAGAACAGGGAGGGAGAAAGATGCTTGCGCTGTTTCTGCTTTGTTCTTTAGAACTGCTAAAGCCCCAGGAACAAAATTCAGAACCTCAAAACCAAGCACCGAGAGGTTTGGATTTAGTTCGCATCCCTTCCTCGTGTGTCTAAATTGTCTCAGTGTGGCTTTCCAGCAGTGGTAATGAACTGAGGTGTCAGGTAGTGTTTGCCTTAGTGCAACTCTTGGAACAAGGAGCGATTCTGTTAGAGTCCGTGCATCAAAGGTTTTGTCTTTGTTAGGAACATAACTGTAGAAGATAGGATGACTGTACTGGGTGCGTTAAGGTAAGCTGGGAATGTGAGATGGACCAACCGAGTCAGATTTAGCCAAATTCTAAAACCAGAGGGAGGTAAATTCCGAGTCAGAAGGCCGAAGATTCTTAGAAAATGGGGGGTAAGGTTTCCATGAACATTTTTTTGTTGTTCAAGAACTACTATACATGCCAGGAGGTGGTGGTGCACGCCTTTAATCCTAGCTCTCGGGAGGCAGAGGCAGGCGATCTCTGTGAGTTCGAGGCAGGGCTGGATCGACAGCCTCTAAAACAATACAGAGAAACCCTGTCTGAAAACCAAAAAAAAAAAAAACCAAAAAAAAAACAAGTCAGCCTAATCTCCTCTGATAGAAGGAACTTTACTAACACAACAACTGTAATACAAATTAATATCTGAGTGCTGACTTCATGTCATGCAATAATCTCTTTGTGTAGATGTGTTTGCTATACCCCTTATGAGAACCCCATCAGTAGATACTTCTTAGGTTTGTTTTGAACATAAAGCAACGTAGGCACTTGCTCATATTCACAAAGACAGTAAGTACCCAGTGCATAAGGTGACCTATTGGCCGAATCCGACAGTGAGATGTCTATATAGTTAAAATTCCCCATTTACAGGGATGGAAATTTCTATGATATTTCAGCCAATAAACAACAGAGGGAGACTGTACAAATGCAGATGGCAAAAGTAGATGTGACAGACAAATGTGGACAGACATAGCTGAAAAGCCCGTTAGTGGCCCCCACTGTAATACATGCTTCTTTAACTACTTCTAAATGAGAGACAGTCTGTAATGTTTTGTGTACATGTCCATGTATGTGCATGTACGGGTAGGTGTGCAGATATCCCAGAGGTCAGTGTCAGTTGGGTTATGTTTCTCATGGCTTGCCTTATTTTATTTGACTTTTTTTTAGACAAGTCTCCCACTAAATCTGGAGCTTGCCCACTCCATTAGACTGACTGGTGAGCAAACCCCAAGGACCCTCCTGTCTTTGCTTCTCTAGTGCTGGGATTATAGCCTCATGCCCCATCCCTGGCTTTTGCCATGGGTGCACAGCAAACACTCTTAACCCATCTCCCTAGCTTCGGGGTGTCATTTTTAAGTGACTGGTTTACAACCGACCCTCCTGACGGTTTGACATGACAACTCTCTTGCATTTTAGCTCCTATTCCAAGTGACTAACCCGGGTATAAAGTATGAGTACACAGTTCGGAAAGATGGCCTTGACAATGATGTGGAGAAGTCGCTCTACTTCTGGCAGTTTGGCCGCTGGACAGAATGCAGTGTAACTTGCGGCACAGGTGAGGAACAGCTGCTTTCGCTCGGAAACCCCACCGGCTTCAGAGTAGGCTGAGAGGTGATCAAAACCTGTGGTTTTCCTTATGTGCCTGCCGATCTTCAGAGTTTCACAGAGGTATCCCAGAGACCCCTCTGAGCAGCAAAATGGGGTGGGACTTAAGGAAGGAGAATTTAGACTACATCTCACTGGTCTGCTTCCATCACATGGGTACCAGCAAAGGGAGACTAGGAAATACGAGGACAGTTGCCCAGCACAGGCGTGGTCTGTGTGATGGGCTATCTTTGCCAAGGCCCATGAAGGCAGAAGCCACGCCTGTTGGCACGTGGGTTCTCACTCATTTCAAAGCTTTAAAAAGAGTGTCGGATGTGGAAGCTTCCTTTCTGTGCCTGTCTTTGTACCGCACTTGAGTCTGTTCTGGAACTTCTTGCCTCTTTCCTAAGTCTACTGCCTGTAAAACCAGAGCACCTGCATAGCAGACATTCAAGGTGTGTCGTGTAGCAAAATAAACCAAAATGAAGGACAGAACATGCCAGGAAGCCATTCTTATCCTCCACAGGCTTCCTCCTTACTCTGCTTGGCCTCCTTCCTTGCTTCCCTACCCTTAAGAAACAATTATAGAACATGGTCCAGAACCAGACAATTGGATCATGCATAACCTAGCTCATAAATAATTCTTCTTTCTCAAACTTAGCATGGAAAACTAGGTATAACTTTTATAGCTGATAAGAATAAAATGTCTACTTTAAAAAGAGTTTTAGTTGTGTGGATGTGGAAATGGTGTTCCATGTTTGCTCAAGTGCCTGCAGATGCCAGAGATGTTGGATCTCTGGAACTGGAGCCATAGGGCAGTCGTGAGCCACCTGATGTGGGTACAGAAACCTGAACTTGGATTTTCTGCAAGAGCAGGACACACAGAGCTGAACCATCTCTCTAGCCCCTAAAATGTTCATTTTTAATATGTTTTATATACTCTTTAATAACTTCATGCATGTATATAATGTATTTTGATGATGCATGTATACATGCATAAGGTTTAGAAACTTAAACTAGAAATCAATCTAGGTCAGTGAGGTCAGTGGCAGAATCTGGCAACTATTACACAAGTGATTGTAGACAATCCATCCTTGAATCCCATGGCTGCCTCTAGCATTGCCCTGGCCTGTGGCCCAGCATGGGCCAGGCTCCCAGAGAAGCAAAGGCAATTTTAGCAGGAAATAAATGGGGGTATAAAATACTTTCCCCGAGGATTCATGAGAAGAATGAAGTCACTGTGAATGTATTTCCAAGTACATTTTCAGCCTGTGATTCCCTCTTAGTCTCAGCTCTCTGGGAAGTTCATATTTAAACTTAAATTCTTTGTCCCAGACCTCACATAATGAAACCTACCTACTACCAATTACCAGAGCCTCTGCCGAGAAGCAGAGCCTCCTCCACCCTCTTATGTTTCAAGATATAACCATCTCAGGTGCAACATTTTAGAGCACGGGGACAAAGAGCTAGTGGCTGGATTTGAACTTAAAGCTACATCTGAAGTTAGATATGGAATAGGACATCCATAACTGATGTCCATTAGTCATTTGGTTTTGTTACAGCATGATCCTTTAGCACCTCTCCTGCCTGGTTGGGTAAACGTCATTCTGATTATAAAGCCTGAATAGGATGTTCATGGTGACCATGCCTAATGAAGTTTCAGGGAGATCTCTGGCTCTAGCAGAGAAAATCATGACTACCTACTTTACTACCCAAGGAACACAGAGGATGAGACACTGATGTTCATACAGTGTATGCCATGTGAAATACAACGGCAGGAGATAGAACAATGAATCAGTGGCTATTCATTTTTATCTTCAGTTCAAACTTTCCACATTATAAAAATATACAGTAAAATAGGAAAAGAACGGAATGCACAAGGGACCAAAAGGTGGGAGCAGAACCACCAAAACAGGAGACGGGGGGTGGATACCACAGAAACAGTAATATAGCAGCATCCCTTATGTCTCTTAGGCTGGTGTCTCCCAAGTAGAAACAGTGGATAGTTAAAATTGGAGAAAGTTTTGTTTCATCCTGCTCAAACAAAACCCTCAAGACACTTCTTAATGCAAGACTTTATAAAGATAATAAAACTGTTTATCAAGGCAGGTTTAACATATGCCAGCAAGTGAAGATGAAATTAGTATACCACATGCACTTACCTTGCCAGTGAACTTGTGATGGTGGCTACGTGGGGCGCCACTACATGCATCGAAGGAGGAAGCGGAGATCTAATTCAGCTGTGCATCATGAATCATGGTGGCTAATCTAATGGTCTCTTGTTCTGCTGGTCTCCTAAGATCCACTGCTTTTTTTTTACCCTGTGCAGCCTGCAGAGATTAAGCCCTCTCTTATTTATAAGCTTTCAGTTTTGTTCTCTAATATTACAATTGCACCCAGTTTCTCAGTTGGTGCCATGCTTAGTCGGTGTGCTCTGTGGAATGCTGAATGCCTGCCTTACCTGTTAGCTGCTAAGTGTTGTTGGATTTTGTCGGCTTTTCTGGTCTTCCTTAATTGTGTGCTTCACCTGACTTACATGTAGTGGCTACAGGAAGGAAATCAAAATTGAGTTAGAAAACTGACTTTGCTTAATTTTCTGAATGGTTCCTTCACAGGACAGAAACATTTTCTCTTTAACACTTTCAAATATTCTTCAAGCATAGTCAGTTCTGTTACTCAAATTTTCCACTCTTTTTTTGAATCAAAGTTTCATCTAACATAACAATTAGTTTATGAAATTATGTAATCATGTCCCTGGCATTCCAATGGGGAAATGATACTGACTTCAGACTCATTGATGGAATATGTAAGCAACAGCTAATGATAAAAATCAAGCATATTAACTCATGTCTAATCAATTGTTGAAGTCAGTTCAAGTCACTGAAGTTTTTTAGCTGGAACAGATGAATTGTGGAATTGAGCGCTTGCTCATGTAAAGTAAGAAAATTGAATTAAGAGTATAGAAACAGATTTAAGTGGACTGGATTAAGTATCCTCTATATCGCAATCTCAGAGTGTGTGTTCACCCTTGTTCTCAAAATCTACAGTAAGCAGAGGGAACTGATACCCCATGAATACATGTTATATATAACATACATTGTATATAGCGAGAGCACACTCTTCTCTCTCTACATATACACATAATATAAGTGCTGTGAGAATATTTACTCTCTCTCTCATAGTGGTGGGATACAAGCTTTCCTTGAGTGAGTTTTGTGTTGTGGTTAGGTAGATATGAATTCATTGTTCAAAGAACAGAGAGCCAAAGAAGGAGCTAAGGGAGACAAGAAAATAAATGAGATCAATATTCCATGGGAACTGAAGTTGAAAGTTGGTAGAATAAGTTGTACTTAACAACAGAAATGGCTATCCAATCCTCACCCTTTCCTTCTTCCTGTGAAGTTAGTGCTATTCCTTTGTGCTGGTATTTATGAAGGGCTTTTTAGTGATAAATCTATTGAGTAACAGAATTGTCATCATTTCACATATTAACATTATTTTACATGCAGTATTAGAATTGTAATTTATGTGATAATGTGAACTTTACCTTGTACTGATATTATTGTCACTTGAGTAGGTGTAAAGAAAGAGATCTTATTTGGTACTTCAAAGATTGAGTCGATACTACACCCAGTCCGTTTAGATAATGTGTTTAGTCACTGCCTGAATCCTCTTCAGTCTTTTCAGTTTTGACATTTTGGGAAGGCTGCATTCCTGTTTGCAAAGCTAAATCTTCCTTTGTTTTATCTAATTCATCCTAAACTGAATTTTCAATTAAAAACATCTTAAATAAATTAACTCAATAGCAGACTCAAGTTTTAAAATCCCATTGTTGAGACTATAACAAACTGTCACTGTTCTTGCGTTTTCTTTTTCACGAGCAACTTAACTTTTTCTTCTTTCGAGGTGCATTTCTTTCCAAGAGAACAAGTTGTAAATCACGTGTTACAGGTTTCAAATCAAAGCACTTAATTGGCCTCATACCACTAATATTCAGTATTATTTATCAAGCATTTTCAAAGGGATTTGCAATCTTCTGGAACCAGCATTTGTGTGTGTGTGTGTGTGTGTGTGTGTGTGTGATGTGTGTGTGTGTGTGTATATGTGTGTAAATGTGTGTCAGGAGTCAGTTCTCTTGTTACTTGAAGTGGGCTCTGGAAATCAAATTCAAGCTGCCAGGCTTGGTTACAAGTGCCCCACCTTGGAGAACCATCTCACAGGTCTGATTTCCAGCTTAGAAGTGGGAGTTTCAGTAAATGTCTTCAGATTAGAAATATTGTAGTGCAATGACATCACACAGGTTTATTGGCATCCTTACTTAGTAAACTTTCTTTGGGGGCAGTATTCAGTTTTTTTAAGAACAAATGACAAGCCATGGATTTTTTTCACAGAAAAATCATGGTCATTTAGATATAGTCTAAGCTCATAGTTTCTGAATTTGCAGTGTTACATAGTAGTAATTACTCTTAAAAGCAGGACCTGATTCTACCCTCTCCACTAGAGCTATTACAATGGCCCATGTTAAAGAGAGCTGCTACTATTCCAAAATTGGATCCCAGACTAATGAGTATGCCACTGAAGAGTAATAGTCTAAGTGTTTCGTTTTTACTCTAAACTACTAAGTTCATTATTGTAAAGGAGATAATATCACTCAGAGACCCCATCAAGAAACAGTTGGAACACAGGAGAAATCAAGGAAGGTAATTCATGCCCATGAATCCCGTGAAACAAGGATACTATCCATAGGCCAGAAAAATTAGGAGAAGGAGCAGTTAAATAAAAAGATAGCACCCAATTTCCAGACCTTGACACCACAGTCATCTGTAAGATCACTTCCAAGAGTTCAGAGCAGGGCAATGGGAGGAACAGGGTAGGCCTGGAAGGAAGGAAGAAGAGCAGCCCAGGAGAGAGGAGATGAAAGAAATCATCAGAGCCAGTGTAAACTCCAGCTAAGATAGGTTGGACTGGACTGGAGAAGGGAAGAGAGCTGGCACTCATTCCATCCATACGGGTAATTCTTCAGTATGAGAAACCATCTCCACTTGGTGTAATAACCGCCACCACTTCACCATCTCACAGGTTGGGAGAGTAAGGCATTTGTACAAGGCATACAGAGGATGGAAAAATCTCTAATCTGTTTGGCCTCTGAGCTAGGGAGACTCAAATGATTACAGTGATTCAATAGAGACAACTCAAATGTCTGGAAGTTGGAACCATCTGGAAGCTCAACTGGGCTGGAACCATCTACTCTAGTCTCTCTCCGGGGCCTCCCTGAGGACATGAGCTTTCTATACAATAGCATTCACATGGGTTCAGAAGTCAACATGTATGGTTCTTTCCCCAGGTATCCGGCGCCAGACTGCTCACTGTGTCAAGAAGGGCCATGGGATAGTGAAAGCTACCTTCTGTAACCCAGAAACACAGCCCGGTGGGAGACAGAGGAAGTGCTATGAAAAGGATTGTCCACCCAGGTAACCCTTGACGACAGGAAGCTGAACCTCCGTGTGTCGCCTGCCCAGACCACTAATTTAATTGTGTTCCAATGCTCCATGGTAATTGTGGGCTGTGTTGCTAAAGTAAATGTAGGAGAGCTGGTGAGCTGGGAAAGGTTTCTTTGGCTGTGCTGTCAGCCTGTGGCATGCTGTGACGACGTTTTTCTTTCCAGAGAGCAATTCTTCTTACAGTGTTGATGTACTGTATGTTCTTATTTGCTAAGGCTCAATCTCACGCTGTTGAAGATAATGTACACAGAGTTCACCCAGAAGCTGTTTAACTACCAGGCTGAGTTTTCCAAGGGCAAGTCCCCATTGGATCTAGAACTTTCGCATACTGGCACTCTGAACTGACCTTGTCCACTCTCAGTTCAGGCTTCCCCAAAGGGACTTGGAATGCAGGCTGTTGTCTGGGCTGGGGATGCAGTCAAGAGCCTCACCGGGACTTGGTCTCCCAGCTACCGTCCACAGAATCCTTCCCATCCCTGAGGTTTCCTAGTAGTCTGGCATTTCATTGTCTCTTGGATCTGAGAGAGCATGCCAGAATACAGTAAAGGATATTCTCTTCTCCTGCCATGCTTCTTAGGCTAACCTTATAGATAGGACTTTATGATCCACAGCAAAAGTTAAGAAAGGTCCAACTGCACAGTCTCCTCTCATGCAGTCAGTCATGTATCCTTGGCATATGGAGTGGAATTGCTGATGCACTTACACAGGAGTCGGGTACTAGATAGCCACTGTGTAATCCCATTCAGAACAAATGTGACATCCAGAGTCAGGGTTTCTTGACAGCAGATGATCCGACTGTCTGCAGAGCTGTCTCTGCTGCTGGGGCAGCACATCTGACACACCTTGGAGAGTAGTTATCCCCCAGAGTCTGCTGTTGTGTTGAGAACATAATTCCCTCCAATTCTCTCTAAACAATTTGAAGATTGTACTTGAGGAAGAAGAGAAAAGCATAACCAATTGGACAAATCCTTTAAGATATTGTCATTGGATGACATTTTTACTTCAATTTAAGCTATGTTTCCCTTTGTTAGTATCTGTTTCCTAAGGTACTACTGGATTATTCTTTCTTTTCATTATTTGAGACTATTTTTATACATGATTAATGCTAGGGGACCAGCTTGCAGTTGCTAAAGATCAACAAAATTGACAGGTCAAATCTGAGATGGCTTAGTTCACACTCAAGCTAATTGCACAGCCTTCAAAAGATGATACTAATAAATCCAATTACAACTTCTCTTCTGGCTCTGAAGTAAAAAGTTTGCCCTTATTTTATATCTAAGAATAGGTGAGCACACAAATATATATGTGCTGGCATTTGCATACACATATACATACACACAATACATTTAAAACCAGTGATATGTGCACTTAAGCAATTACTTGACTTCAGCTAGTTGGTTTTCTTAAATTTATTTAAAAAATTATTTTTGTTGCTGTGCTATATATACATATAATCTCTTATTACTATATTTGTTTACTTCATTATAGAGACTAAAATCTTTAGCAAGGGTAACAAAGTCACAAACTGGTCAGGCAAGGTGGCACATACTGTAATTCATACCAAGACTCAAGAGAAAGAGGAAGAGAATGAGTTGAAACTACACAGTAAGACTTATCCCTTTAAAAAGAAAGACAAGGAAGGAAAGAAGGAAGGAAGAGGAAGAGAGGAAGGGAGAGAGGGAGGGAGGGAGGGAGGAAAGGAGGAAGAGAGGGAAGGGAGACAGCAAGGCAGTCTAAGAAAAGGTATCAACAAAGTGAAAATTGATAAGCAAACAGGAAAGTCTGAGTCTAAGAACTATTTATTTATTATTTTAGAAACTTGAATTCTAGGATCAAGGCATCAGCACTTAGTCTGGTGAGGCCTGTCTTGCTGCATCTTCACACAACGGCTGAAAAGACAAGAGAGATGAAATGTATCCCCACCCAATAGAAGAGTGGAGGGAAGCAAATCTATTCCCACAGGCACAGTTTATAGTAGCATCCATCCATTCATAAGTGTTCTGTCCTCATGACCTAAACACTCTCTTTAGGCCTCACCTCCCAACACTGGTGCATTGGAGATTTAGTCTCTAAGTCATGAACTTCAGGCAACACATTTTGGTCACAGCACAAGTGCATGATCACTCCATGAGGACTATAGAGGAAACTCCAGAAAGAGAAAACACGAAGAGCCATTATCACTCTGTTATAATACAACTGAAAGCCCTGTAGCAAGTAATTAGATAAATTAGGCTTTCAGTCAGCTCAGATTAGTGCCTTTCCAGAGTGACATTTTATATATTCACCAATCTGCCTTGCCTCCCTTGGAAATGTCAGAGGTAGGGCAAAGTGATTAGATTAATACAGTGGGCATTAATTTGCTTTCACATCGCACTGTCAAGTATTAGCTCTTTATTCACACAAGGCAACCAGAATTAAACACCAAAGAATAAACCAGTGATCTTAATTATGTGCTAAGTGAAGAAAATAATAGAATTGAGAAAGAGCTTTCTTCTACAAACTTTAACTTGAGGTAAAATGTATGAAAACCAAAAGGAGTGCTACCCATATAAAAATAAAGTGTAGTAAATAAAAATAAATCCTCACAATCACCAAAACTGAATACTGTCTTAAGACCAGGAAACCTTCTCTAGGTCAAGGTTGCAGGACTTCCCATAATGTGCTATTTTCCTGTGAAAATAGAAATGTCCCCTTTTATTATTGCTTGGGAGCTTATAAGGAAGAATTGTGTATCCACAGGCAATGGTGGACCCAAACTACACCGGGAGAAGAAGAGATTAGTTCTGTTTTCTGTGCTGGAGAAGATTTGCATAATGATAGAGAAAGAAGAAACAAAAGAGGTCCAGTAGGGACCCCTGCCATTTTCCAAAATACTTCATCATAGCCATGGGGCCCATCCTGAAACATTCAATAAATCACTTGTAAACAACTTTCCCATCAGCTTGTCCTCAGAGAATCCCAAATATTAATTTATTAGGCTGTTCAGCTTCTTAGGAACTGCTGAGATGGAAGAAATTATCTTATTTAAGTTAGCTTTCTCCTTTATCAAGTGAATAAGTGAAACTGAACAAGCAGACTGCAGAAGATTGAAGGCAAAATGAAGGCAATGGGCTAGACTTCATATCGCCAAAGTCGCAAAAGGGTTGTGCTTGTATCTGTCTCATGGTGGTACAGGAAAACATTTGACTAAGAGCCAGGAGACCTAAAGAACAGTTGAATAGTATGACTCCACACCTGCAGTCAAAATACCAACACATCACAAGTGATGGGTGGGCTCTATGCTCTTTACTTTGCATGAATTGCTATTTTGTTTAATCCACAATACTGATGAAGTCATTATGCTGCCCTCACTAAACAGATAACAAGTGAGGCTTAAAGTTGGTTGAAGTTGCACAGCAGAACCTTGGACCTCAATTTTCTTGGCTTAAAATTTGAGCATACTTTTCCCATTAGAAGACATTCTTTTAAAGTAAAATTTAAATTTTATGTGTGCAAATGATTTGCTTGATAGTATGTATGTACAGCACTTGTGTGCCTTGTGTCCTTGGAGGTCAGAATATGGCACTAGGGTCCTCTGGAACTGGAGTTACAAATAATTGTGAACTAGCATGTGGGTGCTGGCAATTGAACCTAGGTCCTCTAAAAGATCATCAAGTTCTCTAAAATATCGGGCCATCTTGCCAGTCTTCCAAATATGTTTTTTTAAAGTAACTGCATATGCCAGATTCTCTACTGGGCTCTGGGGTTTATAATTGAATGAGTCACACTGACTTTGTCCACAGAAAACATTCACAGAGCTTGCTTCATCTCCAGGAACCTGGCAGCTTTGTAATACATGCCTGCCTACTTTCTCTCCCAGTGGTTGAATGAACATGCATCTACTCTCCCAATTGAATGAATGTACATCAGTAGTGGCCTTGCCAGCGAACTTGTAACAGTGGCCACATCCTCAGGTGTAGAGATGACCCATGGATAAGGTAGAGGCAGCAGTCTCCAGCTCTCTTGGGTCAAGGAAAGCACTGTGGTCACTGCTACAAGTTCACTGGCAAGGCAAGATGCCACTACATACATCTACTGTTGATGATCTCCTCACATGTCCATGTCTGCCTGCAGGTGGTGGGCAGGGGAATGGGAAGTGTGTTCGACGACTTGTGGACCCTATGGAGAAAAAAAGAGAACCGTGCTGTGCATCCAGACCATGGGCTCTGATGAGCAGGCTCTCCCAGCTACAGATTGCCAGCACCTGCTGAAGCCCAAGGCCCTGGTTTCCTGTAACAGAGATATTCTGTGTCCATCAGACTGGACAGTGGGCAACTGGAGCGAGGTAAGAGAGGTTGAAGGGATGGTGATATTACACCTGTTTAATTAGCCTCTTACTCATTCTTCCAAAATGGCCCAGCATAAAATTGCCTACCATACAGCACCCATCACACCTGGCTTGCTTCCTGCATTTCCTGTGTCCAGCCTTGCAGGATCCTATCCTCCCTTGCTGAGTGGGCAGCTATCTATGAGGGATCAGGTGGACCTCACTAATATAGGCTCATGACCACTAATCGATTCATTACTGGGATATCTGCTGACCCATTGTTAGGCTATTGTAGCAAACTAAAGCCACATACACATATTACAGCACCTGAAGTCAGGCTGTAAAACACTTGGCAGTTCACTGTTGTCTAATGAACCCAAAGGAGTGTTACTCTGATGGCAAAATGGGAAACACATTTGATTCAGAAACTTCAAATCATTCATCTACTCAGCATGCATTTGGGATATCTGTTAGTAGTTCATAAAAACAAATTAGCATTGCATTTTCCACAAATTAACTTCATCTAATTTATGGGTATAATTAGAAATCAGAGGGCTTAAAGGTTATGTGTCACCGTGAAATCTGAGTTCATCAGGACTTGCCGTGCCCCAGGGTGACCCTAGAGAGGCCAGCTCTTCTTTCCTCAAGATACCAGGTGTCTCCAAAGGCCCTGTTTCTGTTTCCCTATGTGCATTTCCGTTATGACCTAAGGAACAGCCAGACAGTAAATGCCCTTTAGAAATGAACACATCAGAATTTTAAGGACAATACTGACTTCATTGTATGTGCTTTGAAAAAAAACACTTTTTGCACTTATTTATTGTGTATGTGTACACATGTGCTGTGACACACTTATGGAGGACACAGAGCAACTGTGATTGGCATCATTTCTATCTTTCCACCATGTAGGTTCCAGGGATGAAACTCAGGTCATCAGGCTTGGTAGCAAGTACCTTAACATCCCACTGGTTCCTGTGCAATTTCTTGAAATACTGAACGCTTCCTATCACAATGGCCAGAAATCTTCAGAGATTTCTTAAGGATTTATTTTCAGGGAAGTGGAAAATATTTGGTGCAGGAGAATATTATGGACAAATAACTAGAATAAACATTGATGAATAAGTAAGCAATATACTCAACCGAGATAAAACATTTGTGTTAAAAAGTTTAATTATGGCCGGGTGGTGGTGGCGCACGCCTTTAATCCCAGCACTCGGAGGCAGAGGCAGGCAGATCTCTGTGAGTTCGAGGCTGGGCTGGACCGACAGCCTCCGAAACAATACAGAGAAACCCTGTCTCGTAAAAACCAAAAAAAAAAAAGTTTAATTATGAATAAAGATTTCTTGAGTAGAGTATAAAGATGCTCTGAAAATGTTATCTAAAGAAGAAGTCTAAATTCTGCATCAATAAAATTATCCTTTCTGAAGATACTTACTTGAAAGCAGGGTACTGGTGTGAACTGAACATCTTTGATAACCTTCCCAAGATATTTGTGATGATGTAACTTCTAGTTCTGTGCAGGCTGTTCCAGTGGATATGTGGGCTAACGTGAAGAAATGGAAGTAGTGGTCCCTAGACTGTGAAAGCTTTCTATCAAGTGGGAGGCAAGGGATAAAAAGTTGGGGCAGTAGCGGGGAGATGGGCAGTAGAGGAAGGCAATGAAGGTGCATGTACTGATAGCATTTCTAGCAGTTAATACAAGCAAACTGTGGATGTGTGCCCTAGTACATCTGCAAACTTCAGTGGCAAGTCAGAACGTCCCCCTGCTATTCTTGGGAAGGAGCAACCATAGCATGCATTTGGCCTGATCTGCTCACCACCAACGTAGACTGCTGTAAATTACAGTGTTGTCAAAATGAGGTTGAATGGGGTATTGTGACGGACCCATTAAATTTGTTTACCAAAAAATGTGTTGGCTGCATCCAAAACACTTAATAATTCTTGTCATGTTGAATTTGCTAATTGCCAGAATCCCAGGGCTTTCTCGAAAGGCTATAATTGCGGATTTGGCTGAGGATACCTTCCTTCATCCATGTGTGTGGAATATAATAACCTGCCTTAGCTGGGAAGCAAGAGACCAAAAGAGTTGGCATGAGGTGACAAGTACTAGTGTCTGTGGTTCCCCAAGCAGGCCATTGTGTAGGTGATTGACAGTAGATGTGGAATCCAGATTCTCGCTTTTTCTTGGCAGTGCTGAGCAGGAGTCAAGCTGGCACCTTTATTGGGAGATGTAGGCTAAGGGCCTGTAGGTAAATCAGCACCAGTAGATTCATTGGATACATTTTCTTTCCTACTCCTATTGTTGTTAACCCTCAATGAGCTTTGCTGAAATAGATAAAAATAAACGTCTTGACATTCTAACTATGCCAAGATACCTTTGTGTAGTTTTATACGTATATGTATTTTTATTAAAATTTACTTATTTTATCTAAATTTCTTTCTTATTAAAAATAGAATCTATTCCATACAATATACTCTGAACACAGTTTATTCTTCCTCAATTCCCTCTATATCCTTCTCACCTCCCCTCCCACCCAAATCTATACACTTTCTCCTACAAAAACAAACCTAACAGGCATCTAAAAATAAAGTAAAATAAAAACAAACCAGAATAGGACACAACAAACTAAAGCATGTAATTTGATCATATGCTCCCTCTCCAACCCCCAGATCCTCTCCACCTCCCAACCCTACCAATTTCATGTTCTTGCTGCCATAAAACAACAACAACAAAAAAAAACAAAGCTCAAAACAAACAAAAGAAAGCAAATAAAGCAAAAAATTCCAAAACAAAACAAACAGCACACACAGAAAAAATGTGGAGTTTGCTTTGTGTTGGCCAAGTACTCCTGGGCATGGTGCCTTCCCTGGAGTGTGGTTGATATACCCAGTGACACCACATTGGGGAAAACTGATTTTCCCTTGCCCATCAGAAATCAATTACAAACAATGTCCTGGGTAGAATGAGACTTTTGTCCACTTCCTCTTCTCAGTTCTGAGAGTTTGTCTGGCTTGAACCTGTGTGGGTCTTGTGCGTGCCGCCAGTCCCTGTGGGTTCACACAGCATCGGTCCTGTTAGGGCTGGAAGATACTCTTTTGTTGGGGTTATCCACCACCTCTGGCTCTCTCTACCTCCTCTTGGGCATACATCCTTGAGCTTTTAGAGGGAGGATTTGACAAATACATCCCGTTTAGTGCTGAGTGCTCTCACCCTGCACATTGCCCAGCTGTGGATCTCTGTGCTAATTGCCATCCAGTTCGGGAAGCAGCTTCCCTGATGAGGGTCGGGTGATGCACTGATCTGGGGTATAGCAATACGTCTGTTAAAAAACATTTTATATGTAACATATTCTGATAATACCCTTTCCCATCCCCCATAAAAGAGATGACAAGCATGATTCTTGGCACAAAGTATTTGCCATCAGAACTTCACCTTGATGCCTACATTGTTTGAAGTGCTCTAGGTTTATCTTGGTCTGAGCTATGCATTTGCTTAAGTATGAGGTAACTTGGCCAGAAGACCCCAAAGCTGAGAACTCCCAGGTTTCTGTTGAATGGTCCTCCCCGTAGCTCCCAAGACAGAAAGGAGAAAAGCAAAATTCATGAGATACCCAAACAAAACTCCTCCATTAACCTGTTGTAAAGAGAAAGTAGGTTCTGCCAAGGCATGACAACACACTCAACTTTGAGAAACTTGATGGTCTGGCGGGGGCTTCTCCTCACTGCTCATCCTAGGAAACCCTGTTCTCTCCAGTAGCTGTTTCCCATCCCATCCAACCTAAATTCATTCTTGACAACCACCTTAATCTCAAGCCTCTCCAAGAACCTTGCCCTGTTTTGCTCAGCCTAGTTTTTAGCACAGAGAATGGCAAGTCTATTTATTGTAAAGAAAGGCAAAGTATCTAAGTTTCTGTGGCTCCCATTATTTTCTTCAAGTACTACATTTCAGTGGCATGCCACATGAGAGGCAATCGGTGTAGTAATTGGTTTGTGGTTACTAGATCATGACTCCCTTGCTTTATATCTCAGGTCTACCATGTGTCAGATTTAATTTCATTGTCTTTGCCATGTTCTCCTGACCAATAACATAGCAATGACTGAGGCTTTTATAATTTCTCTAAGTATAGATGGATTAATATTTCCAAGTTCTTGCTAGCACAGGACCTAGCAAAGGTTCTACAGATATAAACACTGACTAAGCATTTTCTTTAAAGGCAGGCGGATGGAAACACCAATAATGCCACCTATCATTTGTCAAATACTTTCCCTGACCACATAGCCTACTTAGTTTCACCCTTAAAATAGCTCTAAAGGTTGATAGCAGTTCATTAACTTCCATTTTGCAACTTGAAAACTCAAAACACAAGCCTTTAAGTTTGCTTCTTTCACAAGAATTCAATAAATGATGAGTTGAGATTCATAACCATCTCTTATTTGAAGATAACCTCTGAGTGGTACAAGAGTAAAGATTTATTTTGGTCAATACTAGGTTCACTTTTAAACCACTTTCCTGTGTATTTGATGCATATATATTGCCTAAATAAAGAGTTCCCTGTATGTTTATTCAGCCTGGTTTTCACATGGGCTTATGGATAGCTATAGCTGCCCTTTGATTTGGTTTAATGTTAATGTGCATACAGAAAACATGGCATTTATTAATTTGCATGTAGGTGTATTTCTAAAGAGCTTCTCTCTTCAGGAGAATTTTAGGTTATTTACAATAAAAGGCTCTACACACTGTAATGGTGAAATAAAAATTATGGTCATAACTAGGAACAGACTTAAGCATGAAACCCACATGTTTACTGTTTTGCAATTTACAGTGTAGCCCCGAACATAAGGCAACTAAAACAACATAGTAGGTGCCACATTCTTTCTAGGTGGTAGACAAAGCACTCATCTTCTGCAAGATTTTAAATAATTGCCAAAGTTATATGTGGGTTTTTGTTTGTTTCTCTGTGAAGCAAGCCCTCTCCTGCTAAGCAAACATCTCAAAAACTTTAAAATTTATTTTGAGA